GATGATCCAGAGGTCAAAGGAGAAACAACAGTTAATACTATACTCATTAATGATGCAACAAATACAATCACTGAGGAGGCACACAACTGAACAGAGCAGCTTATAACCTATTTCTCCTCATGGAAAACTTTAAAGACCTCAGTTTCTCCAGTTAAAAAAAATATTGCAGTTGGTCAGTGATAAGAGAAAGAAAATCCAATCTTCTGTGACAAAAACTGTACTTGATCAGACTCAACACAAGAGCAAAGTGAAAAACGAGATTCAGCAATTGAACGCCACACTGGGTGTTCAAACCCTGGCTCTTCAAGACATTGAATCTGCCATCATTCAGTGCTGTCAAATAAAAACATGCAGTGATGAAATGACTCCTTTGAAAGGTAGAACATCTGGAGTGAAGAAAACCTGTCACATTTACAAACTTGATCCAGTGCTGGAAAAGGGGCTCTTGAGAGTGGGAGGACAGCTTAGCAAAGCAACAATGCCTGTTGACACAAAACATCCACTCATTCTGGCTAAAGATCAGCACATTTCTACTCATTTTACATCACATTCATGAGCAATTACAACACTGTGGAATAAATCACCTGCTTTCCAAACTCCATCAGCAATATTGGATAACCAGTGCAAATGCAGCTGCTATAAACATCCTTTCTTCCTGTGTACTTTCCAGACATAATAAAGCAAAGATGTGTGAACAAAAGACAGCTGACTTGCCAAAAGAAAGACTTCAACCTCACATTCCACCATTTACAAATGTTGCTGTTGATTATTTTGGCCCTTTTGAGGTAAAACATTGCCGCAGCTTCATCAAACATTATGAAGTCATATTCACCTGCATGTCAAGTAGTGCAGTACATTTGGAAAACGCAGATTCATTAGACACCAGTTCTGGCATTCATGCACTACACAGCTTCATTTCAAGCAGACGACAAGTATCACACATCACATCACAGAACTAACTTTGTGGGAGCAGAACATCAGCTGAAAGACGCTCTATCTGCCCTGAATCAAAAGAAAATTCAAGACTCTTCGCTTTCTTATGGAGTGAAGTGGAGCTTCAACACCCCTGCAGCATCACATAATCGGGGATCATGGGAAAGTATCATTCACATTGTCAGAAAGGTGCTGAATTCAGTACTTCATCAGCAAAATGTGGACGATGATAGATTGCAGACTCTTGTGTGTGAGGTCGAACCTATTTTAAATGATCACCCCATCACAAACATCTGAGGATCCAAATGACCTTAAACCTTTCACTCCAAATCACATTCTCTTGTTGAAAGGCAAACCTCCTCTACCACCAGGGGTTTTGAAAAAGGTGACTTGTACACCAAACGACAATAGAGGCAAGTTCAATTTCTGGCAGACGTCTTTTGGCACAGATGGATTCACGAATACTTGCCATTCTTACAGGAACAGCAACATTGCTCAAACAACAGGAGAAGCTTTGTCACAGGAGACATCATTTTGGCGGACTCTACTGCCCCTCGTGGATCCTGGTTGTTGGAGAAGGTGCTGCAGACCTTTCCTGATGGACAAAGACTGCTGCAATGTGTTAAAGTCCAGACCAAATGCAAAATACTGCAGACGCCAATCACAAAGATCTATCTTCTGCAGGAGGCTGAATAAAGACTGTAATTCTCTTAAAGGAGGCAACTGTGTTAACACCAATTGCATGTGTGTTCTGGTTTGTGTGTGGTTGGTTGTGGAGACATTTTCTGCTGCAAACGTCACCTGCTCACCTCGACATAATTCATCATTACAGCCACAGGTAGGCAGAAAGTTGACACACACCTGAATGGGGATAGAGAATTAGTGGAAGCCACACAGTTTTTCAACCATAAGTCTGTGAAGATGTTCTCTGACACGTTTACACTTTATCTATGTTTATCAACTAGTTTCATCTGATGCAGAATAGGGCCTACACCTGTGTTTTTAAAATTGTTGATAAATAAATACTGTAAACATAATTAACAGCAGACATTCCATTTTTTTTACCCACCATGAGTTGGAAATGACTTCAAATTCCCTCCAGTGGCACTTTTTGTTGTTACACTGCCACTACACACTCAGTTTACAGCACATTGCACAACTTTACTTTTATATTCTTTACATTTTAGTTTATTTTGTACCTTTACACCTTTAGAATTTATTACTGGAAATATTATTTCTTATTTTGCCTAATTTTATTTAATCTATTTTACCTGATCTTATTTTAGTTGTATTGCACCATGGGACAGAAACAAACATTTCCATTCCACTGTATGTCTGGCATATTTTCAAATATATTTTGACAATAAAGTTGAATTTGACTCTAATACAAAGATTGATTATTAAACAAACAATAATTTCTAACATAAATATATTCATTACAATTATTAGAGTACAACAAATATAAATGGCAGAAATGACCTCTCTAGGTAAATTAACTACTCCACATCAACTTCACCACCAAGATTTAAAAGTAACACTGGCGCCATCTGCTGGTTAACAAAGGGTATTACAAGACGCCGTCCATAGACCATCAACACGTGGAATCAATTAAGCTCCCATCAGAAAACAAACAGCTCATGCTTAGTTTAAACTTAGAAATGTATCGTTAAACTAAACTTTGAAACGTATCATTAAACTAAACTCAACAAACAATAAACCGGATCATAAAGACAACATCACGAACATCTTTCTCCAGTTTAGCACTACAGGTGTGTAATTATCAAACAGGTGTAATTATCAAACAAACAAACATTAACAACAACTTACGTTCCCAAACACTGTTGGATATCAATACAAGGACAGCAGGATCATAACAAAGTTAAATTAAACATAAACTTTGTTCCACAGTTCACAGAACTTGGAAGCTGCCGCTCTCATCTCCGACGACACGCACTGTGGTCACCTGTTCAATCATGAGAGCAACACATCCGGGGACTTTGCCCAAACGATGCCGGCCCCGCCCCTTACTGGGTGAAATCATTCCACCTGAATTCAATTCAAGGGGTTAGTTGTTGGTTACTGCACTTAAATAAGAAATGAATCAGACTGCTGTTTCTTAGAGTAAATTAAACACATAAGGCTGGATGAAGAGCTTTTACTTTTAAATTAAATAAATGAAGTTTATTCATATAACTTTAGTAAGATGAACATTAAATCTCTGAGCTCTGTGAACAGTAATGTTTATTAAATCATTTTACCTCTGAGCTGCAGCACAGAGCGAGGAAACACGTGCACACACCTGTACAAAGAAACAAGAAGAAAACCCTCAGTGTTCTTTTTCCACACCTTTTCTTCTTCTTCCTCTTCAATGCTTCTTTTTGCAGCATTTTCCTCCAAACTCGGACACCCGTCACCTGCTCGACTGTTCCAGGGTCGATATTAACTTTGGCGCACCTGGGCAGCACACCTGAGCATGATGCACAGCAGCGGAAGTGACGTTAGGCGTGTCATTCCCAGGTAAAGGTCGTATCTACGTACAGAACTCATTGTGAATTAGGACACACAATAACAATAACAAAATTAAATAAAACACCGAAAATAAATTAAAACATTCATTTTTAGATTTATAATCTACAAATGTGGATAGATGCTGTTGTTTAAATGATTTGTCTATTAGTGAAATAATCCAAACACATGTTTAATCTTGTGCTAGTTATAGGTGTAGTCACTTTAATTTACAAACATTTACAAATTATTAAATCTTCTCATTTAGTTTGTTTTATATTCTTAGATAAGTATAAAAGATGGTTGATGGATGTAATTGTAACCCATCGCCAGCAGAGGGCAGCAGTGTAATATGAATACATGATGCAGCAGTTAATCAGACCTGACGAGGCTGTTAACCTCCAGGTGAGCTATATTATAATATTTACAGTCCATGGTTATAAAGTGCAGAAGTTACATTAAACTCAGCTCGATTGAAGATGGATATCTGCCTCTTATTTAACCTACCAGCTTCCTTTTTCCATCAGCAGCAGCAGCAGCGCCCTCTGCTGTCCACAAAGAGTGCTGCCATCACCTCTGCATAATGACTGTGTGTGTATGCAGCATTTTTCATGCAGGTAAAGCCGATATGTAGCCTATTACATTATATAATCATGAGGAACTTTATCACAATAAATAAATGGAGCAGAAAATACTGAAAGTAAAGTACAAGTCAGTTAAAAGGAATGAATTAATGGAGTCATTTAGTAATCCCATCACGACTGTTAAGAACTAACAGACCTCTCCATTCATGTTGGGAAACTGTATCACTGTGATCACAGCTGATTGTCCACAAATACTGAACTACTGAAAAAATAAAAGACTGGAAATGTAGCTTAAGGTTTTCACAAAGAGCTCTACATTCAAACTAATTACAGCTTCCTTAAATTTTAGAAGAAAACCACATACTAACCTTTCTTCATTTCTGAAAAAGTGACATATTCCAAATTTAATAGAAACCAAATACATATCTATGTCGACAGAACATGTCATTTTTTTTCAAAAATTCATCCATTTTTGAACCATTAATACATTTCTGTGGGTTCTTTCAACATGCATGTAGTCTATCCAACATACGTATGTATGTTGTTTTTATCAAATTTGTTGTATCTTGGTATTTTGGTATCAGATTCTGCTGCCTGTAATAAGAGGAGTAAGCTGTCAGTCAGATCTGGTAACTATTATGACCTTAATGTAGTTAAACTAACAAAGTCACATGGCTCTCTAGCTGTATCTGTAAATGTAAGACAAACATAAATATCTAATATCCAATGAGTGTTCATTCATTTAAAATGTTTGAAGAACAAGTTCAAACTTCACCAATGACATGTTTAAATAATACTTTTCTTCCACTTACCAGATTTCTTTGCTTCACTTTCAGCCACGTTTGGATTCTCTCCAACATTTCAATCTTCACGATATCTGAGTGAACTTTACATGCAACAAAACGCCACTGTGTGTCGTTAAAGACCCTGGAAGAGAAAATCCAGTCAGTATCAATGAACTGCAGAAGACACGTGAAC